CCTCACTGAAGGAGGTAACTGTTGATAAATAGCAGTTCTGGCGCTGTCTTTGAAATGCGATGGAGCAGAAGATGACTGGCCTGTGGCCCTTCCGAATGGTGTCCCATACATAGTCTAATATATGTAAAATGGTATATAAAAATAGATAAATTTATATAAATAACTTGTTATTGATAATGGTATATCTCCCCCTTTTTTTTCCATTTATTCCATTTTAAAATTAAAATTTTTTTTTCTTTTTTTTTTCCTGTTCGTTCCTGTATATTACTCCTTCCCGGAAAAAATATTGTTGTCAGAAATATTTGAATCAAAAGTTTGAGAGAGAGAGAGAGAGAGAGATATCTATCTGTCAACTGTGGATGATATTTCAAAACAACATCCATTAAACAAAGTGATTATGAGTTCAATTGATCTTGTATCGTCAGAGGACTTGGGGTTTAAGTTAGACTCTGATGGCCAAGGTTTGAAGTTGTTTGATCAACCGATTGATCTTGATAGTTATAATGAAGATAACTTGAACTTATTGGCCGTAGGTAATATAAATAAGTACTTTGCTGCTTCTAATGTTACTTCATTGAAATTGGGTTATATATCAAGTTTAGATTCACTCAAGACGGTTACAGATACTTTCAAAATAACACAATTATACTTCAATAGTGATGAATCAAAATTATATGTGGTTAATCATTCCAAATTATATTATATACTTATCAACGATTACTTTAACACTGATAAATTTGATTTAAAAAGTTACCATGGTGATGATATAATAGATGATATTAAGTCAATATCTCCATCATCAAAGTCTCCTGACTCAGTTTTGATTCATACCAATTCAGGTGGACTTTATTTAAATAATAAATCAGATAAAATTGGTGAAGATATTGTTTCATATACTTGGTCAGATGATGGATCAATCTTCTATATTAATAATAATGATCCCTTAAATATTCATTGTAAATACTATACTAAACAGGTTATTCCATTGGATCTTGAATTAGAAAATTACCAACCTATAGATATCCGTACCGTGAAATCAAGTATTTTAATAAGTTATAAGAATGAAGAAGAAGATATCACTCAAACATATTTGATAGATGCTAATGGTACTCCAAGTTTAATCGATGTGGCTCCTCCATTCAATTCAGTTGAAAGAGCAAATGAATATTATGGTTTAACTTTAGTGAAATGGATATCTGATTCAACTTTCTATTTTGTAACTTCATCTTTGGCCACCGATATATCAACTATTAAACTCGAAATCTCAGAAACAACTTTAGTAGAACCATCGGAAGATTCTCAAAGAGCCCAATTCCCTATAGATGATGATACTGGTGATGATACTTCTGCTGTTGGTTTCGCTTTGGATGTAACTGGAATTGATACTAATGTATTAGAACCATGGAATGGTATAGAAGCAGTTAAAGGAAAACTCCCAAGACTTCTAACCTTATTAAATTCGGGTCATTTAATCTCCTGGTGGGTATATGATAAATCAGCAATCACTGATGATAAAGCTGATTTATCCAATGCCTTAAAATATTATCAAAGAGAACAATCTGCTACTGTTGCTGCTGTTGCTCCAGCAACTGCTACTGCTACTCCGGCCATATCGAATCCATTTGGCTCCACAGCTCCAGCTTCTTTTGGCGCAGCTAATCCATTTGGTTCATCAACTGCAAGTTCATTATTTGCCAAAGAAAGCTCGCCATTTGGAGGGTTCACGGCCCCAGTTAAAGAAATTAAACCAATATCTACTGAAGATGACAATAAGTCTGCATTTGGTGGTTTTAAAACTAATAATTCATCCCTTTCATCTAATATTAAACCAGAAACAAGTTCCGGATCTAACTTTGGTAGTTCAGGTTTTGGTGGTTCTGGTTTCGGAAATTCAGGTAAACCTGCCTTTGGTGGTTCTGGTTTTGGAAGCTCTGGCTTTGGTGGATTTGCTGCCAAACAGCCATCTGCATTCGGATCTACTGAAAATACCAATACCACCGCATCAACATTTGGATCATATAGTGCTGGTCCATCAAATAATTCTCCATTTGCAAAATTTGCCCAAAATGAATCATCATCATCCTCCTCTCCTTTTGCATCTTTGAATTCTCAAGCAGATAGCAAAAAGGAAGTAGCCAAACCTTCAATTTTTGGTTCCAAATCAGCGACAACAGAAACGAAGCCTTTACAATCACTGCCATTTGCATCGCTTGATAAAAAAGTAGCGGAACCTCTGCCTTTCTCAAAACTTAATAATAAAGAAGCAGAACCACTGCCTTTTTCAAAGTTCAACGGCAAAGAAGCAGAATCGTCGCCTTTTGCTGCATTTAAAGCTCCAGCTATTGAGAAAACTCCAGCTGTCGAGAGTCCTATTCCAATTAGCGGTTTAAATATCAATGAGAAACCTTTAGCCAGTATATTACCTTCATTTGAAAGCGGCTTGAAATTAACTGAGGATCCAGTTAAACCAGCTCAGCAATTTTCATCATCGGAGGTTGAAGATACTGAGGAGAATGTTTCGGATGAGGATGAAGAAGATGAATCTGATGAATTGGAGTCTTTTGAAGAGATTGCTTCTGAAGATTTTGAATCTGAAGATGTTGTGCCTGATAATGTTGTCACTGAGCCGGTTGTTGCTGTACCACAAGGTTCTACTATATTACAAAAGGATGAAATAGCTAAATCTACAGTTAAGCCAATTACAAAAATTGAGTTGTTAAAGTTTTCCGGAATTTCTAAAAAAGACAGGTACTCAAAAGATGTCATAACGAATAAAATCCTTGAAATATTTAATGAAACATCTGGTAATGTCAACATACTTGAGAGAAATGTGAAATCATTAATTGAAATGATTGATTCACAATCAAATGAGATACAAGACCCTAAATTAGATTCACCTGATCAATGGACATTACAATCAGTTGGCATTTTACAGAGCGAAATTTCAGAAGAAATTGATAGCTCAAAAAGTCATTTAAAGACTTTAAAGGACCAAGAACAAGAATTAAAGTCTATCACTGATAGATTACATAAAACACATCAATTGAGAATTCAACTTGATAAACATTTTTCACAATTATCTCTGTTCAAGAATGATGCTAAATCTTCAATATTGAAGAAACGCCCACTTAGTTTGAAAGATGAAGTCTTACAGATTAGACTTAGAGAAAAGGTTACTAAATTCCGAGAATTAGAAAACCAAATAGTATCTAAGTTAATGCCATTAAAAGCGAAGATACGTTTAGACGATACAGTTATGAAGAACTTGGAGACAACAATTTTTCAAATACATTCAACCCTTATAAATCATGAAGAAACCATTGCCAATCTTGTTAATAGTCTAGCAGAAGTAGAAGAAAATGAACCTAACGAAGACCCTGACTCAATCACCGACAATAAACTGTCAGACAAAGCCTATTCATCTAGATGGGCCGCTAGTGAGGTTCTTAAAAATAGAAAAGTGCAAGTAAGAAAAATTACAATATAAGTTTTATAGAAACTTTTAATTAATATATTAAATAGACTACAGAAATTATATGTAATGTAGATTCCAATTTGGTCACGTTGAATAATGTACGGCGTGCTCATATTACACCAAAGTCTCGTATCTTAACATAATATCTTTCAGGACCAGAGTCATCACGAATACTAACTAAATTATTCAAGATCAATAGTCTTAACAAAGATTCATAATCTTCTGAAGCCGGTATTTCTGTCCATGAATTCGGATTGGCATTTAATAATTTTGTTACCAACTTATATGATTCTCTAGTTGAGTCCTTCAATTCAGATTCACTCAAATCATAAGGTGTTGATAGTTTAATTTGTTTATTGATTGCTCTTTTTAAGTGTGAATTGACAGCCTTTTGGATCTCACTCGACTCCTTTTCCATTTTAGAAACGTTAATGTCTACTTTAGCAGTCAGAAACTGTTCCTCTTGTTCAACTTTCTCATTTAAATCTGTGATTTTGTTAACAGATTTATTTTTAATATTTTCTGTTGCCCGAATAAGGCTGTTAAACAATTGATTATTTGATTTCTGTTTATCAACTTGTTGTGATGTTACGTGAAGCTTATCATTGTTCAATATACTTTCGTATTCTTTTGATCTTTGTGATAATTTCTGTGATGTAGTTGATATTGGAATAACCTCGTCCTTACTGGGTATGTAAGGTAGTATACCACCAGCTTTATAAAGGGCTATTATTCTTTTCTTTTCATCGATTGAATCATGATCTATTTGTTTGTTTACTGTTTCTGTGGCATGGATTACTTCTTTCATATATCCTTTAATGACCCTAATATCATTCTCTAGTCTTTTCAAGTAAGTCTCATCGTTCAGTCTACCCTTTTTACCCGTATTAGGACTACTTGAGCTATACAATTGCTTTAATGTTGTTAACTTATCCGACATGGTTTCTGGTTGCAGTATATATTTACCTTAAAAGTGGTTACAAAATTCACGCGATACTTCACTACAAATATCTTTGATATCAAACTTCAAGGAAAAAAAATTTTAGAAGCTTGAAAAAGGCCCTAATAATTGTACTGGTAACCAATTTATTCAATTAAGCAAATAAACTAAGAATGTCGTCAATATCAGCTTCAGCTCTTCAAAATCTAGATGAATCTTCCAGAAAGGATATTATGCAATTCATTGAAGCTGAACAATCAAAATCAAAAGTTCAAATGTCCATACATAATTTCACTGATATGTGTTTCAAGAAGTGTAATGCTAATAGACCAATAACTAATGGTAATTTGAGTTCCTCAGAGGAGCAATGTCTTACTAATTGTCTTAACAGATTCTTAGATACTAACATCAAAGTCGTTCAAGCATTACAAGGTCAGCAATAGACTTAATTAATAGTTCTTCGTATCTATTTCATGTACATATCAATATATATTTAATTGCAACTTAAACTATTTCTAGATACTTTTCCATCCCAGGAACCTTCTGACTAAGTTCATTGACAATATCATTAAATGAACTATTACCTTTATTATCACTTCTTTCCATTATTACTGCTAATTGGCTTAAATTTTCCTTGACAGTGGCAACTAATGTTTCATTCTTTCCATTATTTGATCTATTCAATACAATACTCCAAGCACCAAAAAAATCGTATTTATAAGTGGATATCAAATTAAAACTTTCAACATCACCTAAACTTATAAATTGTTCAAATAACGAATTTTGTGTGTTTAAAGCTGCCAATATTATGTCCAATTCAAGACCAGTTTGCCAATACAAATTACCATTGGTAATGACTTGATTAATCAAATACACAACTTTGGAAAATGCTAACATCACTCTAGTATGTAGAACATTTGTTATAATATAGTCTAACTGTTTAATAAGTAGTAAAGTCACTTTTGATGGCTTATCAAGTAGTAATCGTGAAAGTGAAGAAACTATATCATCATTTATAATGGCAACCACTGCCAACACCTGATCATCTGAGCTTTCTATAATTAAATACAATCCTCTATAGGCCTCCTCTAATAGCATTCCAGATATGCTTTCTGGAGTACTAGGTGGTAAATAGTTTAAACACTTTTTTATTGAATCTGATAAAATCTGAGATAACCCCGAATTCTTAAGTAAATATAACTTCAGACTCTTAACAAATCTTGCTAAAAGCAAATTGATTAATAAACACGCATGGTACTTAAAAACTGGTTCGTGATCATCTAAAATATTCAAAATGAAAGAGATTAATAGCCTCCAATTAGTTTCAAAGACTATATCATTTGACTCCGATATTATGAACCATGTCATTGAAATTGATTTCACTTTAGATGAGGATTTCCAAGATTTTCTAATGTCATCTTCGACTATTTTGCCTAATCTTGGATTCAATGCTGTATGTTTGCCTGTCGATTCGATTTTCAATAGATTTTGCTTCCAATTAACTGCAATGAAATCAGGAAGAATTTGTTGTATAGATTCTTGTTTCTTAGATGAAGACGATATAATATCTTTGATTAATAAAGAATTAGTCATTGAACTCCAAGGGGTATGAGGATTGATATGATAGGATATTACTGATACAAAAGCTGATATGTCATCTGAATGATTTGAAATAACTCTTAATAATCTTAAGTAGTGATAATATTTGTTTTTAAGGCTAGTATCAACCTCCCTATTCCAGTTTATTCCATCTGGGATATCTAGCGAATGCTTTAGGAAATCGAGTAACTTTGTTGGGTCGTAGCCGTTATGTGATTTTATTATTATACATTCTAATACAAATAAATCCTCAAATGATAATTTCTCGAATGGAATAGATTGATATTGATCTTGATCTTTGCTGAACTTTTCATAAATAGTACTGATCTGATCTGGGCTTAGAGGAGAATCTCGTATAACGTCTATTGTTATATCATCATCAAGCTCTATATTCCAAAATGATTTCATTATTCTGGCTTGATTTCTGCTAAATAAGTCTTGTTTGCAATATTCTGAAAAAAAAAATATAGTAAACAAAAAAATATCTAGATGAAATTATTGATACTGTAACAATTCCTATTTAATGAAGAGTGCAATTGCAAAAAGACTACTTTCGAGTAGTATAAGAAGATGGAATAAATTCCCATTAATAATTACAGATGAGGTCAAACAAGCCTTGAATGATAAGGTTTTACCCGTTGTTTCCTTAGAATCTACAATCATAACTCATGGAATGGCGTATCCTCAAAATTTAGAAATGGCTCAAAAAGTAGAACAAACTGTAAGAGATAACGGAGGTATACCTGCAACGATTGCATTCATAGAGGGTAAACCTCATGTCGGTTTATCAAATGAACAGCTTGTTCAATTGGCTGAAAAATCTCGAGATAAGGGTATGGTAAATAAAGTTTCTCGTCGTGATATAGGATATACTATGGCTAGAAAGTTATATGGAGGAACTACAATTGCTCTGACAATGATACTATCGCATATGGCGGGCATTAAAGTATTTGCCACCGGTGGTTTAGGAGGAGTGCATTATGAAGCTCAAAGTACCTTCGATATTTCTGCTGATTTGAATGAGTTAGGTCGTACTCCTGTTGCAGTTGTCTGCTCTGGACCAAAGTCAATCCTTGACATTGGACTCACCATTGAATATTTAGAAACTCAAGGTGTGTGTGTGTCTACTTATAACGATGATAACAGACCACAGGTTCAAATACCAGGATTTTATACTAGAGAATCAGGAATCATTTCACCAGATCAATTTCAATCATTTCAAGAAATAGCATTAGCTTTACATTATCAAAATAATATAAACTCCGGAAGTGTTATTTGTGTTCCAATACCAAAAGAATATGCATTGCCTTCTTCGTTTATTAATGAACTTGTCAAAAATGCAATTGATGAAGCGAAAAGATTAGGAATACAGGGTAAAGAATTAACACCATTTCTTCTACAAACCATATCAAATGCTACTGCTGGAAAATCAGTTGATTCGAACATTAGTCTCGTGCTTAACAATGCTAAAATAGCAACTAGTATAGCAAAGGAATTATTGATCGCAGATCAGGTATGTTAGAGCTCTCTTTTTTAAAATTTTACTTTTGATCTCATACTAATAATAAAAATAGACTCTAGTCAATAAGGAAACTATAATTCCAAAATTACACGTAACTTCACCAAAGCCATCTATTACCACAACAACTAAGTCTAAAATAACTAAAGCAGACGTTGCCATTGTTGGATCTGTTGCATATGACACCATTTCTAAGATTGGATCAGCAACCAAATTAGGCGATTCTAATATCGGCTTTATTCAATCTTCAATCGGTGGAGTAGGGCATAATGTTAATTTAGCATGTCAATATTCCTTTCAATCTTTATCAAAATCTAAATCAGATTTGAAATCATCACAGTTGGTGTCAATTGTTTCAAATGATTTACCAGGAAGTTCAATTTTAAATGAACTTGAAGGTAAAAATATGGATTCAACAAGTATTAAAGTTATTGAAGGTGGTAAATCAACTGCTCAATACGTTGCAACTCATGATGAGCAAGGAGAATTAATAGTTGCATGCGCAGATATGAGTATTATAGAAACAGATTTCTCTAGTCATATTATTAATGAATTGGATAGATTAGGTCCAAAAGTGGTTGTTTTTGATTGTAATTTGTCACCCAAGGTCCTAAATAAAGTCTTTCACTCTATCAGAAAAAAAGGAGATAATAAACCAGCTGTGATAATAGAACCTACCTCGTTTATAAAATCAAGCAGAATTGCATCAATAGATCAAACTGTGTTTCCTAATAATGTTATTAGTTTGATCACTCCAACAAGAGCTGAAATGGAATCGATTCATAAATCATTTACTGAGAAAGAGTATTTTAATGACTTTGATAATTGGTTCCCAATACTTGATGCCTTAGGAATTAGTGCTGATTTTCGAGAAAAATTGAATGCATTATCAAGAAAGCCAGATTATAAAGTTTTATCAGATTTACTTTCAAACGGAGATTTACAAAGAAGTTTCCAATTATTACCATACGTACAAAACATTTTATTAAAATTAGGTAAAGATGGACTTTTTTCCTTAAGTATTTCTGAAACTGTTCAAGATTATAAATCTATTCCAACTGCATCTCCATATAAACCAAAATTCATGTTAACTTCATTTGGTCAAAAGGTTTCTCCAGAAAAACAACTTGGTATTGTAATGCAATATTTTCCAATTCCTCCGGAGAATGAAAACTTAGAAATAGTAAATGTAACTGGAGCTGGTGATTCATTATTAGGAACTTTGGTTGCAAAACTTGTTGAACAAAATGATTCTTATAATTGGTTAAATTCTGAGTTAATTAGTGTTGAACAAGAATGGCATAAATGGGAATCCATATATCAAGCACAGATATCAAGTGGACTAACATTGATGAGTAATTCTGCAGTAAGTGAAGAAATTGCTAAAGTTATTAAATAGATTTCTCTTAATATATCGAAATGTACAAATTGTCATGTCATAAAAAATACGTCATAAACAATTTTGTCGCAAAAAAAGTTTGGGGAATCAAGTTTTTAATTTTTCTTTTGAAAAGTTTTGGTTCAATATAACTTCACTGTGATTGACTAGTTAGCAATGTTCAGATTAATTAGAAGTTCAATAAGGAGATACCCATGGGGTAAGTTATCCACTAATTCCCAACGTGCCTTACTAGTAAGACCATCACCATTATCTACAGTATGGGTTGGTTTATCAATGGCTGGGGCAGGTGTAGTACTTTCTGGATTAACTACCAATAACTCAATAAAGCTTGAAAAAGATAATCAAGCCTTATCGATTGAAGAATCTGTTTCGGTTGATTCTAGTATTGATGCATTCCCACTTGAAATAAAGCAGTCTGACAAAAAACATTTGCATCAAAATTATCAAATGTTGGGATTTGGAGTTAGAGCTGTTACATTTGTAGGGTTTAAAGTTTATGGTGCTGGGATATATATCTCAAAGGATGATATTAAACAGACAAAGACTATACTTAAAGGTGAAGACTCTATTTCCGAGGAGAAATTACTTGATGTCGAACAATCAGTTCAAATCATTAATAAATTAGTGGAAAATCAAGTTAGATTCTTAGTTAGAATAAGTCCAGTTAGAAATACTGATTTTAATCATTTAAAAGATGGTATCACAAAATCGATATTGGCTCATCCATTAGCTAAACAAGAAAGAGAAAGAATGGGTGAAGGATTAGAACAATTGAAACAAATATTCCAAAAGAATAGAGGTTCAGTTCCAAAGAATCATTTATTATATTTAGAAGTTTTAAAAGGGGGGAAATTAAGTATTACATATGAAGATCCAATTAAGAACCGAGTTGTTGAAATGGGAATTGTTGAAGAACCATTAGTTTCTAAAGCTTTAATCTTACAATATTTAAGTGGTAAGAAACCATTAAGTGATTCTTTAAGAAAAAGTTCAATTCATGGATTAAGTGAACTTATTAAATAAAATTTTTGTACATAGATAATATACAATTGATGAAAAGTTTATATAAAAAAAAGAGACCACAAATAACAAGGATTTTGTTTATTTTATTATAATAATTGGATATAAAATAGAAGATTTAAAAAAGTGAATTAAATTAAATTACATAATAATAGATTCATGTTCAACATTTGAAGAAATAGATTTGTGAGGTAAGACTTTAGCACCATTCACGTAAATTTCATTTTTAATTTCAACGTCATCACCTAAAACGGTAACACCTTCAGTTCTAGCCCATTTACCAATTCTTGAATTCCAACCAACAATGGTAGATTTAACCCAAGCATGATCTTTAACTTCAGAATTAGATAATAAAACAGATCTTTGAATTCTAGCACCATCACCAACAACGACATTTGGACCGATAACAACATTTGGACCGATTAAAGCATTTGGATGAATTTTGGCAGTTGGATCAATTAAAACATTACCACCATGAACGAATTTTTCATGAGATAATTTTTCTGGAGATCTTTTAGTTAAAGAAGTTAAGTATAAACAAGTACCTGAAAGGAAATCTTTTGGTTGACCAACATCCATCCAATAACCTTCTAAATCGAAAGAATATAATTGTTTTTGTTCAACCAAGATTGGGAAAGTTTCCTTTTCAATTGAAGTTGGTTTCATTTCGATTAAATCAATAACTTCTGGGTTTAAGATATATAAACCAGCATTAATTCTATTACCAACGAATTCAACTGGTTTTTCAACGAATCTATCGATTAAATTTGGAGTATCTCTATCATGAACGATAACCCCATATTTAGATGGTTCATCAACTTTGGTAGCAACAATGGTACCAGCACCACCATGAGCTTTATGGAATTCAGCTAATTCATGGAAAGGATAATCACAAATAACATCAGAGTTTAACACAAAGAATGGAGAGTTATCTTTCTTTAAAACAGCTTCAGCTAATTTCAATGGACCAGCAGTTCCTAAAGGTTCTTCTTCAACTGAAAAAGTAATGTTAACACCATAAACTTCTTCATATTTCTTTAAAGTAGAAACCATAACTTCAGGTCTATAATTGACAGCTAATACAATATCAGTAACACCAGCAGCAGCTAAAGCTTCGATTTGATGTAAAATCATTGGTCTGTTACCAAATTCCACTAAAGGTTTTGGAACAGTTAAAGTTAATGGTCTTAAACGAGTACCATAACCACCGACTAAGATTAAACCTTTCATAATGTATAAGGGAAGGGAGGGGATATAAGATTAGAGTTACCTAAAAGATTGAAATTAATGAAGAATTAAGTTCAAAGAGAGAAGAAAGCAAAAGGAATGAAATTAGAATTTAAAAACAAATAGCGAAAGAATTCTTCTTATATATAAATTTTATTCAACGACCACCACCACCCATTCCAAAATAAAAAATAAAATAAAAAAAAAAAAAAAAAAAATATGAGAAAAAAAAAAAATGTAAACAAAATAAAAAAAAAGAAACGAGAGAGTCTTTAAAGAGAGAGAGAGACGTAAATGGAACGAAACGAATTAAGCATTAACCAGTAAAAGGTGATATTGAATATGATATGGAGTAAGTGTTAGTTGGAAGTTGAAGTATAACATAGTACGAAAAAAGCAGTATCACAACAATGAACACGTTTAACGACACGATAAGTTGAATCAATCAATCATGTGTTACGAATCAACTACAATTGGCGTCTTTAAGGGGAAACATCGAAACAACGAAAGAAAAAGATTTGAGGTAAACCTGTAAAATAAACACCCACTGTGTGTGAAAGGTGATTAACCAGATCTATCAATAGAGTGTGTGGGTGTGTAACTTAACTTGTAAAAAATGAATCAAAAGCGTG